TGTGTGTGTGTGTGTGTGTGTGTGTGTGTGTGTGTGTGTGTCTGTATTGGGTATGTGCACTGACGTGCTGGAACCTGCTGGGGTCAGAGGTGTCAGTTCCTGGGGAGCTGGATTTGCAAAAGCTTATAAGCTACCTGATGTGGAATTGACCTCTGTCCCTCTGGAAGAGAAACTTAATCACTGAGCCATCACTCCAGCCCTCTGTGCCAACTTAATAGTCCTCAAGAAAGTAAAATACTTAGCAGTGATCATTTATGCTGAGGTTCCTTAAAATACAGTAGCTATTGTTTCCATATGGATTTGTTTTTCAGATGCATAGCTTTAACCATTTAGCTTGATTTCCTCTTTTAAATAATTATAGACATTTTTCTTACAATTGGTATTTCATAATAACTGTTTTTAATTTTAGGAAAGTGAAAGAAATCTTGTGATGAGCACATTATACAAACTTCATGATCGGTTGGCCCAGCTTGCAGGTATTATTTTACCTTTCATTGTCTCCCAAACCATGTCTAAGGTTACCTGGTGTGTGTGCTTGTTGTGTCAGTAGAAGTAGTCTTGCCTAACCATAGACTTACATTTATTCAATAGTTTTCTTTAGAGATTTTTAAAAGAAATTTATAAAGATGTAGGGCTATTTATTTTCTGCTTGCCATGTGTTAGATATAGTTTATGTATGTTGTGTAAATAGTAAATTCTGAAGGCTTAAATAGCAATTGAATTGGATAAGCAGTGATTAATTAAAATCTTGGATTAGATACAGAGGTATAGATTTTCTTTTGGTGATTTTGCATGTTACTCCTGTAGTTAAAGTAAATATAGTATTCTATTTTTAGTTGAATTCTTCTCATATTCTACTCTTACTGGTCTATCAGAGTGCTCAGGTATCAACATATCTGCAGCCTGAATTTAATGAAATTATATTTTAAATGCATCCTTACTAAGTTTGATATTTGCAAGCAGTATCGGCAAAACTACTGTAGCATATTTGTTTATCCAATTCAGTATATAAATTTATTAATATTTGTGTATAATCTGAAAGATGTGGCTTTGGGAGCCTTCTACACTGTGCAGGAGCAGACTACCATGTGCAAGTGAAGTCTTTGGCAGAAGTCTAGGGGGCAGATGTGGTGACTCCTCTGGTTAGATGGAAGTACTTAGGGTCCTGACACTTGTTTCCCATGCCTTATCCATCTTGCTCTTTGATCCATAGTTTTCCTCAGTTTTTTAGGTTTATAATTGTGTACATTATTAAATGCTTTCTCTATACTGATTGATTTGCTCTGTTCATATATCACAGCTAGTGACATTCATGTGGTATGTTTAGCACCTGGGTGTGGGTTGAATGTATTCCATAGCTAAGAAATCCTAATGTTGCTACCTTAAGCCTGTGTGACTCTCAATACCTACGTTATGAAGTGACGCCTGTGGTTTCCTAGATCAGTACACAACACGGTTGCTCTTAAAAGATGGAGCTTTCCTCCCCAGAGTGGACGTTGGCAAGTTTTTCCTATAAAGTGCCCATAGTAAATACTTGAGGCTTTGTGGACTAGACTGCCTCTCTCACTACTATTTTATTTTGCTATTATAACATGCACGTAACCATAAATAGTACATTAATCAATTAGCTTGACCCTACTCCAGTGAAACTTCATTTATAAATAGCAGCAGACTGCATTTGGCCTCAGGTGTATTTGCTGACTTCTGGGTCTGTGGAATCAGTCTCTCTCTGAGGAAGCATTATAAAGCTTGAAGATCTGTTTATCCCTGATCTAACTGCCACCATCACAACCTGCTCCTTGAGAAAACTGAGAAGTAAGAACGTACTTTCAGGGTAGAAAGGTGTGCAGGATTTCACTTTTGTTATTATAGTTTTGTGTTGGGTGTCTTGCCACCCCCACCCCCGCCCCGCCTTCTCTCAGTAGACCAGGCTGGCCTTGAACTCAACAGAAACCCGCCTACTGCTGCCTCCTGAGTGCTGGGATTAAAGGTGGGTGCCTTATATTTTTAGGTTGAAGAAGATATTTTTAAACTACTTGAAAATAATAGGACAGCAAAAACTTAGCACTGAATTTTAGTATGAAGAAAAAATATCTCTAATAGACACATGTAGTCTGGAAAAAAAGCTTTGAATTTTCTTCAGTTATTTGAAAGAAGGAAGTAATTATAGCATACCCCTTTATAAAAACTAAGTCATAAGTTCATAGATAGAAATCTTACCCTCATTTCACTGTTGATCTGTGTTCAAACAATTTTTAGGGTTTGCATTAGTTATCAGAACTGTTTGTAGAAAACGTATGTAACATTCATCAATATTTACTGATTATTACTATATATATAATTGTGTCATTTGTAAAACATTTTCAATTCTATTTATTTTTCTGTTTAATATTGTACTTATTCCAAATTAGTATGGTAATCTTTTCAGGAGATCATGAGTGTGGCAGTTCTAGTCAAAGGATGCTCTCTGTTCAAGAAGCAGCTTCGTACTTAAAGGTAAGCGGTGGCGTCAGAATTTTAGCCCTAGTCTTAAAGCTTATATACATCCATACCACTGTTAAAAGTAGGAAGCATTTGACTACTTTAATTGTACTGCTTAAGGCAGTTTTTACATCTTCTTTTACAACTCTTTTCCATACCTGCATCAGTCCTTCCTCATCCCTAAGCTTATCCTCTGTCTCTTTTCTTCTTGTTACTCTGTCTGAGTGGTTTTCAGTCTTCCCAACTCTGTGACCCTTTAATACATGTTGTGGGGACCCCAGCTATAAAATTATTTTCATTGCTACTTCATAACTGTAATTTTGATAATATTATGAACGTAAACATCTGTTTTCTAATGGTCTTTGGGGGTCATGACCCACAGATTGAGAAGCACTCACTTGTGCATTTGTTTACATATATAAGTGTATTGTTGGCTAGGTTCCTGGTAAGAGAGAACATGTTTTTTTTTATTATTATTATTTCTGAGATTGTAGATATAAAGCTGATTGGAGTGTATTTATATCTAAGGATATGAAGCTAATTGATTTTCTAGTTCTACTTGTAGTTCATTGAGTTGAATAGGCCGTGTGTGGTTAATTTTGGTGTGATGTTTTTATTTATTTGCAAAGGTTTTTTGCCTTAATAATGAAGTTTATAAAATTACAAAAAGCACAGTCTTACCGTTTAGAGTTCTGTAAGTAGATATAATAAAAGAAAGTGGAAGCTGTTAGTGAGCCCTTGTCATAAGAGAACAAAAGGTAAGAGGGAAATTTAGAATTTGGATAGGTGGGGAGCATGCAAGAAAGTAGGAGAGTAACTAGTCATTTATAATTTGCTGCCCTAGTCCAGTTTAATGTCAGGGGACTAAGAGACTTGTAGGTGAGTTTTTATGAGCTGCTACAGGTTATCCCTGGAACTGTTTGAAAACACTAGAAGGTTAAACTGCAAAATGCCACTCTTGATTTGTGTCAGGGAAAATAGAATTTAAAAACCATACTGTAAAGTTCTGTGACAGTCCACTTCCATGAAGATAACCCCATAAAGATATGAATATTTGCAAATTGAAATGTGATCCAGCCAGCTTGTAAATGCCTGTGTGGGTTCAATGGGAATAAGTGTCATTTCTCCTAATCCCCCCTTCAAGTATTATGTTTCTTAAAGTAACATGAATTCTTTCCTATTATGTACAATGTAGTATGGTAACTATATGTACATTGTTATATATCCAATCTTTAGGACATTACATTTTATATGACTGAAACCCTTACGTATTTTATTCTCTTTGAGGCTATTGTAAACAAAGTTGTTTTCTTCATTTCCTGTTGAGATTGTTTGCTGTTACTATATAGAAAAAGTTGGTTTTTGTACCTTCAAGTTTGCTGAATTCATTTACTCTAAGAAGACTTTAGGATATAAAATCTTTAGGGGTGGCCGGGCGTTGGTGGCGCATGCCTTTAATCCCAGCACTCAGGAGGCAGAAGCAGGCGGATCTCTGTGAGTTCGAGGCCAGCCTGGTCTCCAGAGCGAGTGCCAGGATAGCCTCCAAAGAAAGCTACACAGAGAAAACCAAAAAAAAAAATCTTTAGAGGTTTTTTTTTTTTTTTTTTTAAAGTGGATGATTATATCATTTGTGATAAGAGATTGCTTTTTCTTGCTTTGGATTTTAAAATTTCTTGGAAAAATTGCTTGACTAGAATTTCTAGTTGTGTTGAATAGAAATGGTAATACTGACTGTTGCCTCCTTTGGATCTTAGACAACAACTCTAAGTTCTTCACTATTGAGTTTGGCTGTACATTGACATTATTTCCTTTTATTCCTGGTCTTTTTTGCTCAGTGTTGAAGTCATGTTGAGTTTTCTTATGCGTTTTCTGCATCTGCTGATATAATCATGTGGCTTAAATATTTTCATTTATTTTTTATTGAGAATGCAATATGAGTATTATATAACAACACATGAATACTGTATGTAATAAACAGGGTAATATAAGACCCAGATAATATTGTGGTTTTAATTTTTCTTATAATATAAGAAAGACCCAGATAGTATTGTGGTTTTAATTTTTCTTATCTGTTAAGGGTAATCTCATTGATATTTTTTGTATTGGAATGTCTGTATCAAAGGGTTCTCATTTTCTGGTATTTCACTGAGGATATTTGTGTCTCTGTTCATCAGTATTGGTCTGATTTTTTTATGTCCTATCTGTCTCACTTTGATAACAAAAATCAACATACAAAAATCAGTTTGGGGGCTTGGAAGATGTTTCAGTGGGTAAAGGCACTTGCCACCAAGCCTGATGACCTGAGTTCAATCCCTGGGATTCACACAGTAGGAGAGTCCTCTTACTGCCTTATGTGAGCCATTGAATGTACATATTCATGCATACATATACACACACAATGAATAAATATATAAATGTTAACATTTTTTAATTAAATAAGTTTGGAAATGTTTCTTCCTCTTCATTTTTTGAAGAATTTGAGGTTAGTATTAATTTTCTCTAATAAGTAATAAAATTAGAAATGAATTCTGCTTTCATACTTGCCCAAAACCACAGAAATACACATAAAGCCTCACCCAATCTGAGTCCTTAGAGGTAATCAATGGCTGAGGGGAGGAGAGTTTGTTTTCTTCAGGTACAAGTTCCTGATTGGTTGCCCATCACCATGTGGTTAGCTCTGAACCCAAGTACACATGAGCAACACTAATTGGGTTCAGTAAATTATGCACATGTGTGCGTGTGAGCACACACACAAGTTTTACAGGGGAAGGACATGAGTTTGAGGGGGATTTGTGGAGGGACAGGGAAAGAGTTAGAGAGGGGAGGGAGAGTAAGTATGATGAAAATATATTGTACTCATGTATGACATTCCCACAAAGGGAAAATATGGAAGATGTTCATTTACGTGAAATGCTTGTGTCTGTGTGTTCTGTCTGGTCTGTAGTATTTAAGTTGTCTTCCTCTTTATTGATCTTTATCTGGGTGTTCTTTTCATCTTTGAAAGTTGGGTATAGCTGCCATCTCCCGTCAGCTAGTATGTTGCTGTTCCTCCAGTTCTGTCATTAATTCCTTCATATATGTGAGTTATCTAATGTATATATATATCAATATAATTGCTATGTTGTCTAAGGGATTAAGCTGCTTATCATCATATGTTCTGACTGGTCAAATTTGACAAGTTTTGTGAAAATAGTCACCCATGTTTCTTAGACATTTGCACAGAATGTAACTCTTTTGTGTCCTTTTCAGCCTGTGTATACGGTACGCCCTTATATCTAAAGTGGGTTCTGACACATAGGAGGTAGTTGGGTGTTCTTCATTCATTTAGCTGTCAGTGTATCACTTAGGTTGCTTCTCTTTTCATTTGACCTAACCTTTTTTTTTTTTTTTTTTTTTTTTTTTTTTTTTTTTGCTGTTTCTAATTACTTTCTATATGGAAAACTTGTTTTCCTGTCATGCATTCTCTTTTGTAATTTTTTTTGTAGTGAAATGCTTTAATTGCTTTTGCGTTTATTGTCTCTTTTATGTTATCAGTGCCATATTCTAGTCTTTTAGATTGTATACCTCAATATTTATAGCTCTTTACATTAACATTTCTACAGCTTTTAAGACTTTTTTTTTTAATTTGTATGCTGTAGCTTGAAGTGATTCATGCATGTATCACCATTACAGTGTTCTGGATGATTTGTTTTATGTGTACCTTTATAAGTAAGTTTTACATTTATATGCTTTTATGTTGCTACTTACATCTTTCTTTTAATATTAGATGCCTTTTGGCTTTTCTTGTAAGGCATTTTTAATAGTATTGAACTTTACAACTCCTATTTTTGGTTGTGAGCCTAGCCTTTAACGGCTGAGCTATCCTTCCAGCCCACTTTGCAACACTTCTATGGGAAATATTTCTTAGTTTTTGAAGGTTAGTTTTCTGGATATGATATTCCTAGTTGGCAGGGATTTTTTTTTTTCTTAGTTTCTTCTTTCAAGATTTCTGCTCCCCAAATCTGCTGACAATTGGATAGGTTCTCCGATCCAATGGTAGCTTTTATCTTCTTTAAATTTTTCTTTGCTTTTTCCTAATTTGGTAATAATGGTGTGTGTATATGAGGGTAAATGTGCCTGAGGGGGGGTTACTAGTCAACATTGTCTCTCTCCCTTGCTTTCTCCCTTGCTTTGAAAAATGGGGTCTCTCATTGAATCTTGAGTTCACTGATTCACCTAAACTTGTATGGCCCATGAGTGCCAGGGCTCCACTGTCTGCCTCCACAGGTCTGGGATTATAGGAGCATGCCACCTCCACGCCAGGCTTTTTATGTGGATTCTGAGGATCCAAATTCAGGTCCTTGCCCTTGTACCTGAGTATCTCCCCGCCCCTGATGAGGCTGCCTTTTGGTGTTCTTGTATTCAGGCTATTCAGACCTGTCTTTCTTCTGATTTGTTGGGTTTCTTCAATCTGAGTGCCTCTCACAGAGGTGATAATAGCAAGATGAGCACTGTATTTGATCAGACATTTCTGGGACAAGGTGTAGTTATATTTTGGAATATTACCAGGACTTAAAATTGACTCCTGCACTTGAAGGACTAAAGAAATGGGATAGTATTGGTGATCAGAATTTGACTTGAAGAGGCAGGGATTGGCATGCAAGGCTTTTTCAGCCTTTCACTTTTCCAACACTCGATTGTGACTGTGCTTTAGCAGTAATATGAGGCTCAAAGGAGTGGGGGAGGTGCCCGAAGTTAGACTTGGCACAGGTTGGGTCTCAGCCAGGCAGCCTTTCTTTTGGAGTTTCAGTTTTAGGTGTTCAAGTTTGAAATCATATGGTTGCCACACCATAGATTCAGTTTAGATAGCTGCCAAAAATACCCCCAGAACAAACAGAAATCACTAAACAAGATTTCTTTTTTTGTAAAAAATAGTGTCAGTTTCTAGATAAGTGTCTTAAACATTTCTTAAAATAGTGTTTTATTTTCAATACAAAATTACCATCATAACTAATGAAAAATAAAGAGAAAAAAGTCTTATATTCACTGTAGAATGGTAATCCCTGGTAGCATTTGGTCTAGCACACTTTAGTCTTTTAAAGTGTATCTTTAAAATTAGTATGACTAAAAATATCTCACTTATAAATATTCATATATTTACTCTAAGAATTATATATATTTGCCTCTGTCATTAGAAACAGCTTAATATTTTAAATTGTTGGCTAATATTTTATTACGTAACTATTATATTGGGGCTTTTTTCCTAGTCATTTCCTTAAGAAATAGTCCTAGAAAGGAAATTATTTTTTAAAAGAGCATTAGCTTATAAAGTGCCTTTGATTCTGTTCAGCTTACTGCCTAATTTAGAATGGCAGTTTAGCCCAGCCTAGCCTCAGCTTATTTTATCTGTGTAGCAGTATAAGAACTCCCCCAAACATGGTACCAAACAATGATTATAAAGTATGTATATACAATAAGCCTTCTGTTTACAGAGAAATCTTGTATTTATTCTATGTGTTTATATTATGATTTCATCTGCAAAACAGTTAACATTATTTGGCTATAGGGGTAAATGAACCAATCACTTCACAGCCTCTTGGCTCAGCTCAAGTGTAGAACGTAGAGCTTCCACAAATGTGCACTGGCCCTCCTGGGTCCTAGTGCATTGTCGGTAGCCATGATGAGTAAGTCTCAATATGATACTTCTGTTTTGTTCACTTTGATTCATTACATTTTATTGTCATTTTCTTTACTCTGTTTTCTCCTTCAAAAGGAGTTTTAATGAACTTATTTAATGAATAGATTTTTATCGTACCTACTGCTTTTATTGAGCCTTTCCATAATTTGGTAGTGAAAGCTGATTTACGTTTGTGGAAAGTGAAGAGGTCCCTCTGGTGGAGCACTTAGGAAATGCATGCTTTGTATTTCCTTGAAAGTGCTTATGGAGCATTTCTTGATGATTTTCTGTGGGGTAATGTAATGAGTGTCCGTTTCTAAGTTGTTTTCAAAACCTGTTTAACTTTTGACACGATGAGCAATGTTTAAGATTTTGAAGAGTAGATAGCTTCAGATGTGGCAAGCTGTGGCCAGATAAGACTTTCATAGTTTAGTTTGGTACCCTGATCGCTGTTGATAAAGTGGATTTATGTGGAAAATCAAGTATTCTCGAGAGGCCGGGGATGGGGATATTGCTTTCAGCAATTATTACTTCTTTTGATCAGCAATGCTTCTGAAAATAGTATGATATTCTGGTTTTCTACATTTCTACATATTCCACTTAAATTTGGTCTTATTTTTATCTTGCTGCCTTTTGTCTCTCTGTAGTTCTCATTATGCAAAATTTAAATCTTCTGATAGAAATTTGGTAAAAAGAAAAAAAAGTACTCTAAAAAGTGGGAGTTTTGTAACTGGTTTTATCAAGTACTCAGTTTCCTTTAGTGCTGTGTGCTGATCTTGGTTTCACAGTGATCTAATAAGGTAAGTGGCACTGAAGCCTACTTTATGGAAAAACTAAAGCTCAGAGGTTTAGTAACTGTGTCACCCAGCTAGAATATAGTTAGACTGGGAGTAGGAGTCTGCCTTCCTTCTTAAGCCATTCCACTTCTTGGATGACCAACTAAATCCGTAACCTGTTAGTTTTAATGGTGAATAAACAAATGACACTTTGAGTTATGAACACTCTAAAGAAGCAGCTTAAAGTGGTACATCTCACAGATAATATATGTTCTTCACAGTGTGTGTATATATAGTTCGTAATGGAACTAAGATCTAGTCCCAGACCTGCTTGGTACAAAAATCAACCCTGTCTCAAAAAATAGAAGCAAAACCAGAAATCAAGTTTCCATTGAGTCACTGGTTAAATTACTCATTTTTTTTGAGGCAGGGTCTCACTGTGTAGCCCTGGCTGGCTTGAAACTCGATAGACCAGGCTGGTTTCCAAGTTTCACAGAAACACCTGCCTTCCCCTCCTGAATGCTGGGGTTAAAGAGAATCACCATCATGCCTGGCCCAGTGTTATTTCTTGGTGTGTAGCATATATCATCTCAAAGTAAACAGAATATTCTCTAAATTAAAGGCACATAGCTATTCGTACCTTCCTGTGTCCTTTTATATGAACTGTCCACATTGGGTTTCTAATTCTTGGTTGTATTACTTTAAGATGCGGTATGTATGCATGTGTACTTACACATGCCACCCTTTCCAGATGCACTTGATTTTCAGAATAGCTGCCAATAATGTATGTCTTAAAACCATTGTCAGATGCATCAAATGTTAAGTTTCAGCATAGAAAACTAATTCTAGTTTGGTGCAGTAGTGACACCTGTGATCCAGGGGTGGTTAGCTTGCCCGGCCTACATAGCTAGACCATCTCAGAAATAAAACAGTACTGTTTTGTGTAAAAGATTCTGCTTACTACATAAAGAGGGAGAATGAAAGATACCCTTTCTATAAAGCAAATTCAAGAGGATGGCCTGTGTGTTACCTTCATTAGCTCAAAAATCCTAGCAACAGTTTTGTGTAAGTCGTGATACCCAGCAGAGTTAGCTGTGCTTTGTACAATTTGGTGTTTACACATTGAATACGCCTAAAGCAAGTTTCCCAGTGAGTTAGAAAATACTAGTATGACCCAATGAAAAATATTTCCAGTGTCATTGAAGAATCCATTGGTGTATTCAACAGACATTTCTTTAAAAAAAAAAAAAATTCAAGTCTCAGTAATTTGCCATTTGTTTATTTGAAAGTACTGTTCCATTTATAAACAGTAAATAATTCATTATCACAATGATATTTGAAAACAGACTTAACAAATAACTAAAATCTGTAAATAGAATGCAACTAGAAAGAAAGCATAGCAGAATATTATTAGTGGTTATATTGGAATCATGAAAAAAATGACTTTTCTTTTTTTCTTTATTTATTTATTGTACTGAGTTACATGTTTTCATTATTTTGTTTATGTGGTTAAGATAAAAACAGAGAATGTTATTTATGTGATGGTTTACATAGGACTTTTGACAATGGTTCTCTATTTTTTCTTGTTAGGATTTAGACCCTGCATATGAAGATGTATTTAATACTTCATTGCTGTGGATTTTTAAAAATGGGAAAGATGTTGGAATAAGGTACAGGATTTAGTTCACACTTTGATTTTGTATTGTAAGAAGTACTTTTTATAAATTTTAATCTCTAACCTTAATTATTTTTAAATAGGTGTATTGGTTATGGGCCTGAGGAAGAGCTGACAAATATAACTGATGTGCAGTTTTTACAGTCCACCAGACCCCAGATGTCTTTCTGGTGTCGTTTCCGACGTGCTTTCATTACTGTAGCCCACAGGCTATTGTTGTTGTGCTTAGGTAAGTTATTAGTGTCTCACTCAGTGTTAGTCAGGAACCTTCTCCCTTCTGTAGAAGTCTTCTCTAAATAATAAGTGTACTTTTGTGTAACTTTGTGACCAAATACCTGACAGAAATGACTTAGACAAGGATGGAGAGTGTCAGTCCATTGTGGAAGGAGGGTTGGCAGAGCAGATAGCATGGCGTCCAGGAAGCAGAGAAAGTGGCTGAGACAAGTATCTCTAATAACCTGCCACCAGTGACTTATTTCTTCCAGCTAGAGTCTACCTCCTAAAGTCCCCAAATTATGACTGTCAGCTGGTGACCTCGCCTCTGTGAGGAGATATTTTCATGTTCAATGATAACAGTAAAGCTGAGGGCTATTTATGGCAACTGTGGACCTAAGGGCTTAGAGAATAGTAGTGTATGAGAGAGAAAACTTTGTCATGAAAATGTCATAAAAGGAGCAAATTATGTATAAGGAAACCTACTTTTAGAAAATAGAATTGGGAAATAGAAAATATAAACTTATTTTTAAATAAAACAAGCTCTAAATTTTTGGTTTAAAATGTCATTTGTGAGAATTTTTTTAAATTTAGGTACTTTGATATTTCATAATAGGAAATAAAGAACTATTCCTCTTTTCTGTTTTTTTTTTTGTTAGCTCTTTAAACATAACTCAGTTTACTTTAATATTCCGTATGTTTAGTAAAAGTCACTTTTCTAGTAGTTTAGTGCTGAAAGAAAAGTCTGAAACATTTAATAGTAAGGACTTAAATACTCACCTGTTAATGTAATGGAAGGATTTTTTTAGAGGGGTGAAATTTTGAGAAAGTGCTTAATAGTAAGTTTTTCTGTGCAGTTCTATAATACAGGTAATTCAAACCTTTGCACTTACTGTCTTAGGGCAGTGGAGATGGTCATTGTTATTAGCTACAATGTTACTGACTCCATTGTTCCATTAGGGCAGTGGAGATGGTCTTTGTTATACTAGCTACAATGTACCTCCCTATTGCTGACCACAGTCTTAATGCCAACTCTGTGATTGTTGCAGGTGTAGTGATGGTTTGTGTTGTTCTACGTTACATGAAATACCGCTGGACTAAGGAGGAAGAGGAAACGAGGCAGATGTACGATATGGTGGTAAAGATTATAGGTACGGAATTTGTAAAATCTTGAACTATTTCTGGAACAGTTACCATGTGATAAAGCTACAACATAGTTGTCAGAAATTGATTTACTTGTAAAGTTGTTGATTTATTTTCAGATGTTTTACGAAGTCATAATGAAGCTTGCCAAGAAAATAAAGATTTACAACCTTATATGCCTATTCCACATGTTCGAGATTCCTTAATACAGCCCCATGACAGGTGTGTACATCAGTGTGCATTGAGATAAGTCAGAGTGTAGGTACCTGTGGGAGACTGGGATTTTATTGAGAATTGTGACCTCTCTTAACTATACCTGCCTGACTGGCAGACTTTAAAGTGCTTTCCCTCTCCTTTCAACACTTGTACTCGCCTCCTGACTTCAGGTGTGTAATACTGGGTTATTCTCATTCCTGCATTTCTTTATTCTTGTTTGTCAGTCTTCCTCTTTATCCCTTTAGTTTTTGTTATACTAAGAAACAGAGACAGACAAAAGCTAGTTATATGTTTTTGTAATATTTTAAGTACTTATGTTGTTATTATTGAAGCTTTTAAAATGAAAGCTAGAATCTAACTTTGCGAAAGTGGGGGGAAAATCTATATTCTGAAAGCTATGGATCTTCAGTAGCACATCTTCATCACTAATGGATGAAGGATGTACATGCTCATGGCTCACCTCTGTAGATGGAAACTCGGTAAACTTGAGGCAAGGTGAGGCACACAGGCATCTAAGTTATCCTTTAGATTACTTGTCAAGAGTGGTACTAGCTGGGATGGGGTGGGAGGGGGTACAGAGACAAATGACAGACTAGCTAGTTAACAATAACTATTCAGACATTTCCAAAAGATGACAAGCCAAGATTAGAGTACATTTGGCACTTTGTTTGTGTGATAGGAAAAAGATGAAGAAAGTCTGGGATAGAGCCGTTGACTTCCTTGCTGCTAATGAATCTAGAGTGCGCACGGAAACACGAAGAATAGGAGGTGCAGATTTTCTGGTCTGGCGGTGGATCCAGCCATCTGCATCCTGTGATAAGATATTAGTAATACCTTCTAAAGTATGGCAAGGCCAAGGTATGTATCTTCAAGCAAAACCAAAGCTTTTCTCCTAATTCTTCAAAAAATACATTATATATTTAACTGAAACACTAATTCAAAATATGTGAATCCAAATCTTCCCTTTCCAGCTGCACCCTTAGAGGGAATAAATGTTAGAATAGTTGTGGTTTGTCTGTACTGTAATAAAGACAGATGTCCCTTTGACCTTCCTTCCCTTTTTATTTAACAAAGCAGCTTAGTATTATAGCTCTAATGGCATTCTTCTCATCAAACATGAGTCATTGTTACAATTATTGTTAATATGTATTCAGTATACATTAAATTTATACATATACATACACATATGTGGAAGCGTGACTTAAACATTCTGTTTCCCAAGTTTTGCTTGCCTTCCTCTTGTTTCTCGCAAAGATCCTTTACTGAGTATGTCCCCTTCCAGGGTTCTTGTGTAGCTCTGTCTTTGCCTGATTTTCTTAATAGTGTGTAGTTTCAAAAGAGAGAGAGTAAAATATAAAAGGAGTTTATAAGCCTAGACAGGAGAAGCATGTATGTAAAACAGTATATAAGTGAATTATAATAGTAAATCCTCTTTCCTACCAAATCCTGTTTATTAGTATTTGGAAACAGTATTCCTGGAAAAGATAAATGGAAGTGTTTTAAAATTGCATTTCTAAGAGTACAATATATCATCCCCCCCCAATCAATTTTACTGTAAAAAGCTTTAATAGACTTTAATCATGGAGTTGGGTGGTTAGTGGATAGAGAGGATCTGGGTGGAGTTGAGGGAGTGAAAACCACATATAATCAGAATATATCATATGAGAAAAGGAATGCTAAGAACAAATTATTTCCTTGGAAAGTTGCATGCAGAAGGACCGTGTGACACTAGAAACAATTTTAAATGATTTCACATGACTCTTACCTGTGGCTGCTGACCCCCTTCAGCAAGCATTCACTGTGGGCTTTGGCATTAGCACCTTTTCTTTCCCTGGTCCTCTCCTGCCCTGGTCTTTTCTTCCAGTTGTATGGTTGTGTCCCATGCCTCTCCTCTTCCTACTTCTAGATTTTCCTCTTTTTGCAGTTTCTCAAAGCTGTCTTCTCATTTTTACTTTTTTTAATTCGTCTTTTCCCATGTGGTGGCTTCATTTCATTTACATATAATAATTCTGATGTTTGTACCCTGTGGAAAATTCCTCTTCTAGACGATGAGTACTACAGAGAGACATAAGTGTGAGCTTGCTGTCTCTTCCCAAAGTCACTTTTCTGGTACCTTAGTCCGGATAGTAGTACTGCTTCTCTCTTGGCTCCTCCATTTATCTGGAAGTCATCCTCAGGCTGTCCTTTATCTCTGATTGCTTGGTCCTTGAACAGGATGTACTCCTGTCCATGTCAGTGTGGTGCCATTGGCCTCACTTTTCCACATCAGTGCCTCTTGGACAATAGATAGCCTTCTGGCTGTGTTAAAGTCACTTTGCCTAATTTATTTTCCACACAATTACTTCAATTTTGTTAATATTTAAAGCTAGATCTTGTCATACGATTCCTCTTAAAACACTTGGGTGACTTTGTATTACTATAACATCGTTGGAATACTTTCATATGGCCAGCACAGTCTTGAACAGACTGTGTTCTGCTTTGCCAGGCTCTCCTTTCTGTTCTGTTCCAGCCACACTGGCTTTCAGTCACTTGAGTATCCTTCTTCTTCCCAGGGCTGTGTACACTTCACCTCTACCTGAAGGGTCCTGTCACTTGTCTCCCCTGCTGCTTTAATTTAATTCAGTTCTCAGAATCAGCTTCACTTCCTCACGGAACTCTTACCTTTCATCGTCGAGGATTTACCATAGTCTAATCCCCTGGAAGACACTGTCAGTTGTCTGTTTCTGCCACCAAACTATTAGTTTTGGATATTGATGACTGTCTTAATCCACCTTAATTAACTGGCTCATTAAAAGCACACAATAAGTATTTTTAATGAACTAAAAGATTGTTTTTCAACAAAATGGAACAATTTCAAGTAACACAATTCATTTTTTTTGTAGCATTTCATTTAGATAGAAGAAATTCACCACCAAATAGTCTGACACCATGTTTAAAGATTCGAAATATGTTTGATCCAGTTATGTAAGTATTATAAACAGGCACACATATAATTTTTATTTGGAGTATTCGGGTATAAAGTGCATGGTATTTCTATTAGGCTGTGTCTAATTGGAAACTTTTAAAAGCTATTGCTAACTAGAAATGTTATGCTTTTCTCCTTTGCTAAATTCCAAGCAATGGCATCTCCTGCATGCTTTAGCAATCAGGAAGTCAGTCCCAGTCTATCATTTGGTTGCATTAGGCAGATTGAAAGTGAATTGCTTTTCCTTTTGCCCTCCTATCTATGACTCACCCACAGTAAGAGAGATGAGCATGTGTGCTGTAACAGGTACTCTTGAAGCGCTTGCTGAGGTGCAATGACCATGCACTGTGTTTGACCTGGGACCTTTTGTTTTGGTAAAGAAGCTTGGAATGTAGTGTTTATATTAAATAAATTAACAAGAAAGGAAACACTGTTCTACTCTTGCAGCTTTAATGCTAACACTAGTCTGGAAAAAGAAATGAAGCAAATTGCAAGTATACCAATACACAGAGTGACTGAGTTTATTTGTTATACTGTAGTGTGAGAGGCAGTGAATACAGAGTAGGAATAGCATGGTTGATTTTGTTTCTCTTAATTTCAGGGAAATAGGAGATCAATGGCATTTGGCAATTCAAGAAGCAATTTTAGAAAAATGCAGCGATAATGATGGCATTGTTCATATTGCAGTAGACAAAAACTCACGTGAGGTAAAGTCATGTCTAATACTGAACACAGTATTTTGTATCTGTTGCTGTTAAACTAAGACTGTTCTTTCTCTCTCTGCTTTCTTCTACAGGGTTGTGTGTATGTTAAATGTCTGTCTCCGGAATATGCTGGAAAGGCTTTTAAAGCATTGCATGGCTCTTGGTTTGATGGTAAGAATTTGAGTATTACAAAGATTTGGAAAGGGAAATTAGTTGCATTTTAGATTATGCCTTATTTTAAATGGAATAATTTTAGGTTAGCATTTTTTGAATAATAATTTTAGATGAGTTTGTTTTGTGTTTAGTCTTTACAACAGTTAATTTTCTGCAAATACTGAACATAATTTTACAGATCTAAAATACTGTTTTTATCTTACAACAGGGAAGTTGGTTACAGTAAAATACTTACGACTAGATAGATACCACCATCGCTTTCCCCAAGCTCTTACTTGCAACACTCCTTTGAAGCCATCAAATAAACATATGAACTCTATGTCGCACCTACGCCTTCGGACTGGCCTAGCCAATTCTCAAGGAAGTTCCTGAAGAGATCCCTTCAGTCCTAGGACTTTATTTAAATAGGAAAAGTTCCTGTTTGGCTTCCCGTCTTCCTTTTAAAATGCTTTTTGTATGTAATATTTTTATTGGTGAGGACAGCTGTTTGAAAGTTGCAAAGGGATTTAGCAGTGCAGCAGCAATGCTGAATAGGCAGAATAACTGGTTTCTTCAGGCTCTGGAGCTCAGTTAAGCCACTGCATTTGAAGTTGTGCACAAGGAGCACTGACTTTATATGAAGCGTTTCAGAGATGGTGGTTATATTTTTGCACCAAGAGTGATTAGATAACCACAGAAAGGCATGGCGAAGCAGCCTTTTATATTTCCATAATTTCTTGTGAACGAATGTGAATTTTTGTATACAGTCAGCTGCATAGTTCCTTACAGGCTACTGTGGTAAAACTGTTCATTTCCCACTTCAACCTTAGGTTTCTGTTGCTTGTAAAAGGTTCATTTGCTGCAGCTGGAATATGGGGAACTTTATTTGGTTTTAATGGTTACATACATGTGTAAGTGGATGTACATGTACTTAAATTGGCTTTTGTATATATGTATAAATACTGATGGTAGTGAAAGTCTTGTTTTGTGAGAATGTCTGCATTAGCAGTACAATAAGCTTTCTATTTTATTCATAATCTAATTTGTGTATATATGTATGTGCATAGCTGTGTGTTTATGTACATATGTAATTGTACATATGTACATATACACACAGATATATACATATGGCTGTACTGTCATAGATGATCAAACAGCCAAATACCTGGAAGTATTAGATACATGTTTAAAATGCCTTTTATAGATTTTATATAAAATGCCTGAGTATGATTTGTGTGAAAGTTCTGGCACCAGTTGTAATGAGTTCAAATTTATGTGAGCAATAAAGAAGCAATTGGCAGATACTGGAAAAATATTTTGTGAAAAGCTGTATTTATTATAAATACCGGGGCTATAACAGTGCTATTGGGAGTATGTCATTTTCCCAGTCTGTTTATAGCTCCTGTTCTATGTTCAGTGTAGAGCAGGCATGTTGTTGCAGCAAAATGTGTTAGAAAAATTATCCTTGGAATGTTGGGCCATTAAAGTTTGCAATGTAGAAAATGCACAAATGACCATTGGTTTGTGTGTCAGTGTTTGTTTCAGTAAAGCTACTTTATTATTGCTTATGATTTCAGATCAAAATAAGTTATTGATCAAGGTTTATTTGTAACCTAAAAATTGGCCTTTTGAAAAATAACCTTCTGGATATATCATTGTTGGTCCAAATGAATATGTGAAACAGCCGGAATTACCAATTGCAATACTTGTTTAAGTTCAGCTTTCTTTTTGTTGTGTATGTGTTGGGTTTGCAGCATGAACTTGCACAGATATGCACGTTTTCTGCTTAGTAAACATGATGCACACTATTCTGTAAGAAAACCCTTTGTGCCTTACCTGTGTGCTTCTGTGGGCACCATGTTTATGAAGAATAAATGTTTGTTATCAGAAGAGAGTTAATGTTAAATTCTCAATTTATGTCTCAGATGCTAATGTGTTAAAAGTATAAATATATAATATATAAAGTAACCAGTCTTTCTGTATTTTATGTGCATCATAGTGATTTATTTGAGCTTAGTGACCCCATCTTGTAACCTGTTGCAAGAGTGAATGTAAAAAATAGTTGTGGCATTTTAACAGGTCACCTTTGGATGCAGATGCATCTTTTTCTTGCTTTTAAGATGTATTTCATGTAAACATTGTACATTTATTATTGTAATATATACTATTATGCAGCTTATTTTACCTGGAACTCATTAAGCTGACCAAGAGTCCTCCCTAGAAGACAGATGGGAATGTGTATAATAATTAGGTATTATTTGAAAAGTTCTTGTTTGATGTAATCTTTTTTTTTGTTCTGTTTAAAAAAGAAGGAAAACATTCTAATTAAAAATTTATTAGGTTTTTTAAAAATGCGTGTTTGTTTTAAAGAAACTTGTAAAGTGTCTTGTGTCTTTCCTTTTGCCAGTGAAAGTGGGTGTCTGTATTTTAAATCTCCCTTATCTGAGGTTCTATGGATGGCTCTGTGTTTATAAGGATGAGGACCATTAAGTTAGTTACTTGGGTGTTTGTTTTAGCTTTTCAAGATGGCAGTCTCACTCTGTGTCCTAGACTGGCCTGCAACTCACTATGTAGTGTAGGCTGGCTTCAGACTTGGGAGTCCTCCTGCCTTAGCCCATAGGCTGGCCTCCAACTTGGGAGCCTATGGGCTGGCCTCAGACTTGGCAGTCTTGCCTTACCCTTTCAAGTGCTGAGATTACATAGCTGAGCCACCAGCCTTGTAACCATCCATTTTAGAGCAATTAGCATATATTAATTATACATAGTAATGTGCTTTCTTATGATATTTTTTGTGTGTGCATATAATGTATATTTATCCCCCATTACCCTCTCTTCCTCTTCCTATTCTCGCTAATCCCCATCTTCAAACTTTGCTTTTCTTTATGAAAATGTCCTCATTTAACCCTCAAATGTTTGGATCAAATGTTGACAAGAATGTAAATAGGCTGGGTCACTAAGCACTTTAGTTCAACTAATTTCCTCAGTAAAGACAACAGTTCATGCATTCTGACTGAAAGCCTTAGCCCATTATAAACCAATCACAATTAGTCCTTTAGATTTGCCTCATCAGTTACTAGGTAGACTTACGGCTTGCTAATGTTGTTGACACTGGTTGTCTCTGTTAGGAATACAGAGATGGAAAGAACAGGCTAATACTGAAGATGGTCACATCTGAAAGAAGAATATAGTAAGTTAAAAGATAATGTGGATAACATGGAAGGAAAATAGACAGGATTCAGAGATACAGAGGAACTTGGATGCATCTTAGTAGATCAAGATACAGAACAGGGGAGGTATGGGCTAAGGCACTGACCTGGTCTAGCATTTGTTGGAGTCACAATGGTAAAAGTATTTCCTTTGAGCCCTCAGTAGAGCATCTGTTCTTGCAATAGGATAGTAAGAGCTGTTGTGTGGAGCCATGTCATAAGGTCCTTTTTCATCATACTCACTGGTGTGTGCATTCTTGAATGTGTTATGCATATCAGAGCCTTGTATTGGGCTTTTTGGGTTTACAGTTTGCACAAGTTGTTTCTAAGTGAGCAGTGTTTAGACATTCTGTGTGCCAAATATCTTTAATAAGATTTGCTCCAGAGACCTTTCCCTGCTTTTCGTATCATGAAATCATAGGTAATCTACATGGCTTCTTTGCCCTTTTTCTCCTAGGCCTGTCTCTGCAAATCACTTTCTCCAGATGGCATTTCAGAGTGTGCCAACCCAGGCAGAACATAGGCAGTCACTGTCATGTGCTGGAGAGCTGAGAATCATTAGAAACTGGGACTTGTGTCGTAAAGAAACTGATACCCTGGGTGCTTACCTTTTGGTTCCGATCCCAATTAAGGAAACCCTGCAGATAGCATGCTAGACACATTTTGTTGATGTTTAGATTTAAAAGACAATAGAACCTGTGTGTTTAGATTTACTTTTTCTCCTTAGACATCACAGAACTACATGCATTCCTGAATTTGGAGAGAGGGGAATTTAGGCGTAGAGAACAATGTAACAGGGCTGGAGAAATGACTCAGTAGTTAAAGGCTAGGTTCACTTAAGTCCAGCTAAAACCTTACATCTCGTATAAGAAGTTAATATCCAAAATATATAAGGAATTCACACAAAGCAAGCAAACACATCCTGATTAAGAAATGGGATAAAGCATGTGAGTAGCTACTTCTCAAATGGCTGACCAGCATGTTAAAAGAATAACCATTGGGGAAATGCAAATTAAAGTCAAAGCAAAGTCTGCTGAGTTGATCGAAAGTAACAGGTGTTGTCAAGGATATGGGGAAATGGGAATCCTGCACACTATTAATAGGAATGTTAACCATCAAAGAGTAGAACTTTGGTATAATCCACAGGTCCTTCATTACTAAACATATGTCTGTCTGTTGGCGTCCTGTTACCATAACAAAATACCTAAGGCAATTAACATAGGTTGCTCTGGTTCTTGACTCTAGAGGTAAGTCCAGACTGAGTGGTCTCATAACCGTGAACCTTTGGCAAGAGTGGCATGTGATGGTGGGGCTCATTGCAGAGCAAGTTGCTGGCCTTGTGAGCCAGAAAGAATTGAAGGGACAAGAAGAGAGGCAGTGTCCCACCATTACCTGCAAGAGCATGACCCCAATAAAAGGACCTCCCAGTAAGGCCTGCCTCCCTAAGTTTCCACTTCCTCCCAGTACTTCTGTCTCATTTATCATGTTAGCAGTAAAGTGTGATTTTATTCATCACACGGTGTTACATAATTTGGGTTTGTCAGTTTGAAGTTAAGGGTCTAGTTTGTTGATTGCTTTTATCAGGAATCTTTTTGGATGTTACCAATTTTTCTTAAATCTATTAAGATGATGAGGTTTTTGTCTTTTAAGGTTGATTTTCAAATGCTAAGACAGTCTTGCGCTTGTGTGATAAGTCTCATGTGCTGGTCATGATTTGTAACATGATTTCTATATGTTGCTGCATTTGGCCTGATAGTATTTGAGGATTTTTGCATCTGCATTCCTAACAAACTGTAGTTTTCTTGTGAGGTCTTGTCTGGTTTTAGTGCATTAAGACTAGGCCCAGAATGACTTAATAAATGCTCTTTTTACCTTTTGGGACAGAAACTGATGTGATCATTTTCTGTTTACCAGAAAAGGCATCAGGGTCAGGGCATTTGTGGGTAGTTTATTATTAGAATTATTATTTATTATTAATTACTAAATCATTTTTCATATCTGTTGAATCAACTCACATTTCTTCTTAATCAAATTCAGTAATTTGTCTCCTTCTAGGAATTTTCCATGTCATCTGTCATCTAATTGGTTTGTGTTAATGTCCACGCCATTCTCTTATAGCTCTGCTTCTGGAATGACCCCTAACACATAATTTTCATAATTTGAGTCTTTAATTTCTTTCCCTTGTCAGTCTAGCTTGTTGATGCTTTCAAAAATCCATTATTTTTTGTTTTATTTTATCTATTTTTCTATTTTCTGTATCATTAAATTCCTTCCTAGTCAGTTGCTCTGCTTACTTTAGGTTTTGTTGTTTTTTGAGGTCTTAAGACATGGTATTTAGATTACTGGTCTGAAATCTTACTGTTTTAACATAAATTTTTAGGGCTGTGCATTTCTTTGCAAGCATTGTTCTAGTTGCCTTCCATGAGTTTTGGCATATCATAGTTCCGTTTTCATTCATCTTCAAATATTTCGGTTTCCCTTGAAATTTCTTCTTGACCCGTTACTTGCTTAGAACTGTATCTCATGCCTGCACGCTGGTGAACTCTCCAGATTTCATAGTAGTTGATTATAACTGATTTAAACCATGTGGTTTAAGGACATACTTTGTATTATCTCAGCCTTTTCTTATGGACTGAGGCTTGTTTTGTGGAACAGCCTGTGCCCTTTTTGGAGAGCAGCCCCTGTAGACATAAGAAGAATGTGTCCCTTGCTGCTGAAGTCTCCAGGTCACTAGAGCTCTACAGACACCCCTTTGTCTGCCATTGGCTCTGCACTGATGGTGTCACTATGTTATCCTTTTGCTTTTTTCCCTGGCCTCAAGGTTTCCTTTATGATCAGATCATCAGTTCATGTAAAAAATATTTTATATTTAATCTAGTTTATGAACAATTTATTCAAGCTAGCTTTGTGTCCCTAGAAATAAGTTGTTAAACTGTTTCTTTTTGTTCCCATAGTTACAACTCATCCTCAGTCTTTGAAGAAATGGCATTATTTTATTGGTGTCAGTTCCCACATGTTCCGTGGGAACATTCTAGCTTAGTATTTGATCAACAGATACCCAACATCAAAGGTGTAAGCCCTGTGTGAGAAGCTTTTCCAAGAGAACTCAAGGAAAACAAAAAGATTGTCCTTGGTAGAGTGAATATAACTAATGAGCTAATTCTTCCTTTACATGGGTTAGTACAAGTCTGGTAAAGCGCCTGTAAACATAGATTGATGTGCAGTGATTTTAATTGAAATCCTAGAATATCAACTGGAAGACTGATGTAAGCAGGCAGTATTTTTAACTAACATGATTAATAAAAGGCTGGCTCTACTAGAATAGAGCTAATTAAATATGTTAAATTGTTAACAAAGCATGCAGCAGATAAAGGGAGAGAATAAATGCCTTCATTGAAGTAGATCCTCATTTTGGCTTAATTGACACTCAAAGTCACTTAAATCCACCTTAGGGACCAGATTTTCATAACAGTTTCATTTGATACTTTATTCAAATTACTAAAGTTATATGTAACAAGTTAGATTATAATTATACTAACTTCCAGAATTTCTTCCTATTTTTTTTTTCTGACAAAAGTATTTGGAAGCATATGATGGTAATTTCCAAGTGTTTGGTCTCTTCAAAGTCAGAATCATTTTTGAAGAATTACCACAGTCTGTCTGTTTTTCTTGCAGGCTGTCTCTAGGCCTGTCTCCGTGTAGTACAACATCAACCTTTGTCCTTGTCAGTTCTTTACGGACTCTCACGCTGACATAGTCTCTGGCCATGCTTGTAATTTGAGCAGTTTTCTGTTGTTCTCATTGACTTCCTGAGATCTTAAACACTTTGAGAGTCTCGGAAGTCCATCTTAGAGGATGTTTTCATTGCATTCAGTGTCAGTATATGTCAAATGTGTGCAGATTTCAGAGATAGCCAGGAGAGGGTGTTGGATCCCCTGGAGTTGGAGTTGCAGATAGTTGTGAGTGCCTGATACAGAAATTGGGAAACAAACTTGGATGCTCTGCTGAAGAGTCCTTAACCACTTAACATCTCTCCAGCAACCGGGAAATTTTAAGGAATTGTCAGATGATAGGAAGAGTTTGGATATGTTTTGAATAGTATTGAGGAAGTTGTACTCATATCTCAAATGCGTGCCACGTAGGACACTGTTGTTGGAAGGTCCTCCA